CAGATCTGACAAGGCTTTCCGCTGCAAAACCAAGACCAGAAATCTTCTTCCCTAGGTCAATGCAATGCCATGGACATAGTAACACCCATAGCTCTCTCTTGCTAAGTGTTTCCAGAATGCACTGCTGCAACTACACTGTCTTAAACTTTCTAGTAGGACCCAAAGTTAGTTTATTTTGCTGCCATTTCCCTAGTCAATATGGTGGATGCCCAATCACAGAAATCTAAATATATCTCTCAAATATCAACATCATCACATATTCAGATATGCACAGTCAGTTTTCAGCTGCAGACTTCAGGAGAAAACTTAATTACCAACGGCAAACTCAGGATCCTGCTGTTAATTAGAATTGCAATTTGCATTGAATAATAGAGAACACTGAATGATTTTCAATGTATGAATTTCTAATTTCTCCTCCAGGTGTTTTAATTACACACCATCTCAACAGGAACTGAGATGAAAAAGTCACAAAAATAACTTAATTGGTGTCGATCACCTGGGATGCTGAAGTGTACCACAGATCAGACTGCTCTGTGGGCATCATTCCACCTACTGGTACAAGACAAACAAGCTGCCACTCCAACTTCTCTGTCAGATATTGTCAACAGCACAAATGGACCCCTATAGAACAAGCAGACAGCAATTACTGTTCCTGTAAGAATTAGAACGCCTACCTTCTTATTCTGCCTTTCTTGACTTTCCTTCTTGTTATATAGCTCAACCAAGGCAGTGAAGTAGCTTCTACATAAACCATGCACAAAGTTACTGCAGGAGGCATTTTATTTTTCCTCAACCTAACTTCTGGCATGGTGCAACCACCACTCCATCTTTGAAGGATGCAAGCCCCTTTTGTAAGGGCAAGTTGCCTATATTGAATTAAGTTTTTATAATTAACTGAAAGAGCACACCATAGAGAACTGACTTCTAAAGTTTTGAAAATAACCTTTGACATGTAAATCAAGTGTGGGCAGTGATCCTTGCTCTAAGTCTGAAAAAAAGACCAAGGTCACAATTATGAAGAGGACTGGACTGCCTCATTAAAGAGGAGGCTGGTGCTAACTCAACTGGAGCACAAAATACAACCTGAAGGTGAAGTTTTCATTACATCTGTTCAACTGACCTGAAGTCCAACCGGTTTGGGGACTTTTTTCTGTTATATGAGCTGAAATGAAAGATATGATTAAGTATCTGGAAACAAGATCAACCCCTTCAGCAGTTGTTTCCAATGAAAAAATTAAATTCATTACAAATCTGCACTCTTATTCTCACAGGAAGTCTCGGCTAAGAGCTGTCACTGTTCACCTTAGCAGAAAGCACTGTGGCAATAAACAGGAATGAGCTATCTTCAGTGGTTAGGAGACATCAAGATGCGTACCATGAACCTTTTATTCTGAACCTTTTTACTACTCTCCTCCTTGATTCTAAAAACTGTACTACATCAGGAAATTCTCTGTCTGCAGAAGAACTTGAGCATCTCATGGTGCTGCAAAGACTGGGGAATGAAGCTAGGTAGACCACTTGCCACAAGACACTAAAACATCCATTTTCTAAAAGGTGAGACCTCAGGAGCACTTAAGTCATCAGCATTCCTTAAGACTTTGTCAGAGCTTAATCCCTGTGGCTTCTTACAAGCTGCAATACACCACTCCAAAATGCACTGTAACCCCCTGTCAACACTAAGTTGTCCTGTTGCCCCTAGCAACAGCAGATGCTGTCTCTGTTGCCAGATTTGGACTCCTCTCCCAAGCAACAAAGAAAATTTCCATCCATAAACACCAGATGCTGTGGAAATGTTACCCCAAATGGTACAACACCTGACCTCATACTACCCTCATAATTTTACAAAAACATCCCCCACCACCTGCTAATGTGCACTGGAGTATGAGAGCAACCGGCACCCACGGCTTACCCCACTATTCCACTTTGAACTTCTAGCTATGGTGAAGGGAAGCATGAATGGATTCAAAAGGGTCCAGAAATTTACACAGTTTCCCCAAAAAGGAATACAGAGAATATTTTTCAGGAAGTCCTGTCACCAGATCAAACACTGGTTTGACTGTAGAACTGCTCTGCAGTCTCTCATGTCCCTAGTTAACCCTTCTCCCAGCTGCCCTATACAGCTTAGAAATGAACTTGATGAAACATGAATAATACACAATGCCCATCATTAGTTCTTGTTACTCAGCAGAAAAATCAATACATGCTCTGTTACAGCACTAGTCCCTGCACTCTGAGGGAACAGGTCCCACAGCCAAACTTAACACAGCCTGCAGCAGAGAAATGGCGGCAACATCTCAGCAACAATTCCACAACAAGTACGCTGAATGTGTTAGCTATTAATCACAAAATAGGCTTTTGGAGATAACTGGTACCACAGACTTTGGAACTCTTTGGACATTTCTCAGATCTCAGCCTCTTCTATTTTCCAGATAAGCTGGTGTCAGCTATAGGTACATTTTAGGAATGTTACACTCCATTCTATATTTTGTTAGTTAAAGCTCTGATGCTGAATAGCCTAGTAAAACCTCAGTCTAATACTTACAGCTATTGAATGTACCTGTATTCACAAAATCCCCAACTTAGCTAAGAAAACTTCAAAAAAAAAAAATCTTACCATCCCTATAGAAACTGTAGGGTCCTAGCTTATAGTGGGATAAATGAAACACAATTAGGCAGAAATGTGATCATGGCCATACATCCAACGCAGGGAAAGATGGGCAGTGATGAGAAATAAAGATCTCGGTCCTGCAAGATCATTTGTGCTCCCCTTTCTAGCTGTTTCAGAGCTGTTCACTATGTGGGTGTTCTGCAGGCTGGCAACCACGCAGAACACGGTCATTTGAGAACACATGCAAAAAAAGAAAAGGCACTTATGCCAAAACCAGCACAGAATAAATGTACTGTGAACAAAATGGGGAACTCTTTGGGCCACATTCTCCAGTGACGTCTGTGTCAATTGCGTTCTGTATTGACTGGCTATTTATAGTGTTTTTCGATACTATCCATCTAGCAACTACATTTGCTACAAACAGGGTTTATCTCCATAAGTTAGGGAAAGCATCTTCATTTTGCAGACAAGTCAGTGGTACACTGAATTGTTTTTCCAGAGGACACAGAAAAGTGCGATGTCAAAACCCCAGACTGAACACAAATAACCTGGGATCCACAATCATGCTAAACTGTGTCACTTTTTTTCACTATGCCCATTTCAACTAGCCACATGCCCTGCTTTACCAACTCACCTGAAGCAACAGCTGCCTGCAGTTTAGGACAATTCTCTTGTAGGCTACAGTAATATAATCTGATAAGTTCGACAAGTAGCACAGAATTACTGTTTTGCCATCTGGAATCAGAAGAAACTCAAACTTGCAGGAAACTCAGTCAAGCTCAGTTAATTATTTCAGATCACTGCCAGAACAGATGGGATCATTCAGGATCACAACAACCCAAGTGCTTTCACGTTGTAGGTCCACAGTCCTGCAATAGTATGATTCAGAGTCTCATTCAGAGCAACAATGAATGCCACTTCCTTGGAGATCCTCCATAGAGGCAACTCTGTGGGCCCAAGGTCCTGCTGTCTGTGGGACCCTGCCTATGAGGGCACAGTGCAATATAAGGGGGTAAAAAGGTATTAAAAGATGATAAGTGATAAGCAAAAAGGAAAAAAAAAAAATACTTTCTCCCCAAGTAGCTTCCTCTGTGTCAAACAGAATTCTGTAACTAAGGTAATGCAAAACACTGCCTGATGCTGTAGTTGAAAACCTTACAGCACTGCCTGTTCTTGCTCTGCCTGATACTACCTCAAGAGGGGTGTGCAAAAATGGCATTTTAAGCTAGCCTAACAGGGTGGCAAGAAAAGGACTCACAAATAGTAAAAACACACTTGACTCCACAGCAACAACATTCAAATACTGGGGCAAGCATTCGTTTTTAAAAAATTCCATGAAGAAACAAGAGGCAGCCTAAAGCAGTTAGCTTTATCTGCCCTACTGACAGCACCAATGCTGTGGGGAGAGACAATGCTAAGCAGCATGGACAGGTAGTCCATGAGGCCAAGCTGGCAGTGAAGTGAAGGATGACTGAGTACACTCACACAATTTTTAGCACAATCACATTTGCCTGTTCCTTTCTAGGAACTCAGTGTTCGGGTACAGAGAAATAGATGAAGTGTCTCAATCCTTTCACTGCTCTCATTCCTCTGTTGTAACACTAGCAGTGAAACAGGTTTTTTCCCTCCGTAGATCCTGCCACCTGAAACTACCACCTGAATACAGTGCATTGAAACCCATGCATAGGGATGGTCCTCTCCCAAATACAATCAGAACTAAATCAACTGAATTCAGTTGCTCCTATACTGCAACAGGGAACTTAATTTTAAATCTATCCTGGAGATACCAGCTCTGTCCACAGCAAGTGTTTATATGGGAGCTAAAATGACTGCAAAAATTTTACATTAATATTACAGTGACACATCATTATATTTTCTACATTAAAAAAATGTCAACCTCTCTTCCATGCCAAGTCATTATTTTCTTAAACCTTTCATCCAAAAGGGAAGTGTTTTGAAGCTTTCTGTCTGCCTTCCCACCCACTTCCCAAAATAGGTAGCATACATGAAAGATATTGCATCCAGAGACTGCATGTCCCTTTTCCAGAACTTCTGTGCTGTGTTCTTTGTCTGTTTCTCCCATAACAAGTGGACAAATGCATCTGTTTGAGAGACCACACAACACTCCAAGCAAAGAGCCTTCTTCACACAGGAAAGTCATGGAGCATGATGCATCTCAACTACCTTAAAATGAAAATGAGGTGCCACAGCAGCACTTCTATCCAGAACAAAGAATACCATGTAGTAAAGTTCCCTTTCTCAGTCTCACTAGATAGTCTTGCCAGTGTAGCAGAACATTCAGGAGTATTCAGTACAACTCAATTTTCATTAGTGACAACTGATGGAAAATGTTGTGATGTTATAGTGAAAGCACAAAAAAGTGTTGGCATACCTGGGGTAATTTCAAAGAGATGTTTCCCTGGTTCATCCGGATTAGGTGGAAGCTCGTTCACCTGACTGCCTTGCAGAAGTATCAAACCCTGTAATAGATACAAACATTAGTGAAAAAGGAAAGACCACTAAAAGGGTAAGGAAAAATTGATAAAATGTATAGTAAATTCAAGTCCTGCTCATCTACTGATCCCAACACCTTTCCACAGCTCTGATCAATAAAAGATTTGGGCTGATCATCCACCGGCTCCACTGTCTTTTCTTTCACACTGGACACTGCTGTTTCCTCTGGAATAACACTACTCTGAGCATGCAGAAAGTGATTCTCCTTGGTTTCCATAACTATCCATAATTTATAGCTATTTCTAACTATTCCATGATTATCCTTTGCAAAAGCTTCATCTCGTATTACATCTACTCTTCCTACACCCTTGAATTTCTGGTTGCAGCATGTATTTGAATAAGATGGCCGATTTTCCAGAGATTTTCAGTACACAGAAGTTCCCAGGGAAGTACTGGAAGACAGCAGATAATTCAGATTTGCAAGACAATGGACTACCTTTTAATCCAAAAGGCTATAACTTCCCTAGAAAACAACCTGAGGCTCTTTACTTCCCAAGTTCAAATGCTGCCAGTATTCAGCTTCATTTCCACTTTGAGCTCAAGCATAATTAACACAACGTATTCCAGTTTGGGATTTCTGCATAGCTGGTGACATAGTATCTTCAAAGTGAATAAAATCTTCTTAATCTATGGAAAAGCTGAAAAAGTCATCACAGGAACCTCTTGTCCAGTAACATGAGCGAAACAAGCCGCAAAAATTCACTGATATTCTAAAGGGTTTCCAGTTTAACATTCTTCAGGACATATGCACAATCAGACAGAAAAAATACAGTAAGAACTGGCACTCTCAAGAGTTAAGTCATGAAGAGGGCAATCAGCAGTTCCCATTCTTGCACTGAACTGTCCTGGAATGCAAATGGGGTCCAAAGCATCTTCTCTTGATGAACAAAAAATAAAGAAAGTTGTTTCAGTCAGGTTTTTCACACATCTCTGGTTGATAAGAACATAGCTATGCATGTTTACTAATCTGGAAACAACCAAATACAAGACACACTGTGCCATCATAACATTGGTAATCAAAACAAATTCTAGTTATTCTATTTGTCAGCTTCCAGAGCCACATATAATAGAGTAATACAATTAGCATCTCATGAGACAGACAATCCAGAATTTCAACTAACAGAAGACAACTCATAAGACCTTTGCAATCTTCTCTATAAAACAATGAAGCCAGATGTGCTACTTTCCATTGCCATTATTCAGTAAAACTTCCATAGCTTTGCTCCTCAGGAATATATCCTCCTACAAATACTTTGTTCAACAGTGTCAAGGCTCAGCTCCTATCCCTTACCCAGTGTAAGGGTAAGGTTGTGGAAGGACATCGTGTTGGAAGACACTTCATAATGTCCATACTGAGTGATTTCTCAAGAATGGTTGTAAGATTTAAAATTGAGGTACAGTAAGTCAACAGGATAAGCCTCCAGCACCCTTACCTCCCAATCCTGTTGCCCTGCAATTTGACTCTAAGGTTCACTGAAATTAGAAGGTAAACTGAAGACATTCCAGAGATAACAGAAAAACGTAGGAAAGGTAACTTGACAAAAATGCAGATGCATCTCAAATTATTCAAAATGGTATTGAAAAGTATTGTATAAAACATCATCTTTAGTGGCCAGAACACATTCTAAAAAATTCTGCTGTTTTCTAAAGTACAAAATTCACACCCGTTGCAGATGCATTAAAGCCTTTTATCATGTCAAGTCAATACTGAAGGAAGGGTTAATGAATTAGTTGCACAGTGGCTTTTGCTTCCCTGGAAATTGGGGAGGGGTGCATGCTCTCTCCTTTCCTGGGAATAGAAACAAGCCCAAAGCTACTTTAAAAACCCACACATATTGACATACTCAGTAGGAGCATCAAAAACTCTTTCCAGGTCAGTCCTCCCTTCCCCCTGTCCCCTAGGGTAAAAAAATAAAAAAAAGAAAACCTGCAGAAAAACAATGGCTACAAGTCCACCCTCTAACCTTTGGTCTTTGATGGAGTGGGCTGTGCAACAGCAACTGCCATGTGGCACACAAACATACACATCCTCAATAGTACTCAATCCATTAAGACAACAGAATAATTCCTCTTCACACCAGAAAGCCTGTGTGATTCTCCTGCCATTAGATTATAGCTCCACCTTTTCAGCAATACTATTAAAGGAAGAGTATCAAGAGCTTCCTCTAAGAATCTGAAAGAACAGGTTTTCATAAAAATAGGCAATGCAACATTCATAAAGAAAAATATGTTGCTTTGTATTTCTCTTTTGAAACATTATGTCAAAAATCTCACTTGACTTTATCAGGTAAACAACAAGAATACAACTCTCTTCCAGAGTATATATAAATAATCAAGTAGGTGGAAGATCAATGGGAATTTCAGGGAAACTATTGATTTCATTTTTACACACAAGCGTAAAGGTCATACTTAATAAATAAAACAACAAGATTTAAATTAAACATGAGTACCTTTAGCTCTGAAGGAAATTAGGGCTTTATATCAATAACAACAGGTGAAAATATCTCCTGACCTATAAAAAAGATCTCCCTACAACAAAGGGTCTCAGCTGTCTTCCTAAGATGCATGGGCACACCTGTGCCATTGCCCCTTCGTTCTAGAGAATCCCAAGCAACAGCTGTCTATAAGCATCAAAAGTACATCTCATCTGTGGGATGCAAGCAGCCCTAGTTGAAACCAGATACAAATCCTAATTTGTAACTCCTACAAGAATAGGTAGGACATAGTCCTGTACCATCCTACACAAAATGGCTCCCCACATTGATAAAAGTATGGCAACCCTGTGCCCAAAAACAGTCAGGGTTAAAGAAAACCTTTACAAGATGACTACCTGAGGCCATTTCTTCCTCATCATGTTCACTGACGTGAGTCAGAAGTGCCCAGCTCTCCCACGTGCTTACATGCATTGCATATGAAGATAAGGTGCCCGGTTTGAAGGTGCAAAATCCAGCTGTTGCTGGCAGCATCCTGAGTGATCAAGTTACATCATCAAGTTCAAATCTCTCTAGCCTTTACACAGCAGACTTTCCATAATTATGGACCAAATCCCTCATCAGGAGAGTGCAAGATATAAGATGCAGTCAACATCCTCATTCATCTACCATATTTATGTCAGGCCCACAGGGGAATATTAGTTTCCATTCTCACTCTACAATGAAATTTATGTGTGACAGTCAAGCAGGCAGCTGCACCAAGCAGTTTAATAATTGTCTATAATGAGCATGTGGATGGTGATGATATTACACAGGCTGACTGTCACTCTGTAATGCATGTACTGACTCATCAGGAGCCAGCAGTACAGGGACATTGTCTGGCTCATTCAATTATGTTCCCACTGTTCAATGACTCTGGTTAAAGGCCTGAGTCAAAACAATGACTATGTGAATTATGATGCATAATCTACTACAGCAGCTAGGAAAGACGTTAGCTCAAATGCTCTGAGAGAATTTTACAGGCATTAGGAAAACATGAATAAGAAATAGTTCATCTCCTCTGTAAGCTTTAGTCCATAGCACAACACCCACTCCCTCCCCCCACACTAAAACACATATTCCAGCCCATTCTCAGCATCTAACAAAACCTGCACACCGCAGGTTTTACACCTCACACACACAAGCCAGCTCTAAGCAGCTGGTTCACCTCATGGCTAACAATGGATTAGTTGGGAGATAACAAGTCCCAGCTGAGCAAGCAAGGTTAATCACTCCTGCCTCAGTAATCTGCAACTCCATAGCTCTTCTTGTCAAACTCCAGTCTCATAGCTGGCCATGCTAAGATTTGGAGGTCAGCATGCCCTCCAACATAAACGCCTTCTAACCTTTGCCCAAGCTCTCCCACTTGTCTGGTTGTAGAAAAACCTCCCTGCAACATCTTGTACCTTTGAACCTCCTTAAGTGTATATAGTTTTGGTGAGGACAGAAAACAACTGAAATGAGCTGTCAGTCATAGCATGGCTGTGATCACACAGAAGTCACACCACCTACAGTTCTCTAGTCATACCTGAGGTTTAGTTTCCTCTTCATCCTTGTAGTAGAAGAGCTGATCCCCACGCAGTACAAACCACCGCTGCTGCCAATTCTTCATAATGCTCCTTTGTTTCTTTAGCCAGCCACACTTCAGCACACGTTCTTGAGGATTTGGAGAAGATGGTCTGGAGGGAGGCCCAATCTGTTCACCCATCACCAAACTCCTTGACCGGGCTGAAAAGGCAATTACAGAATAAGTGAAACAAAAAATCATAGTAAGAGCACTCAGAGAGGATAAATAACTGTTCCACACTTTCTCCTCAGATATGGACAGACATGCTTCCTTTTTGAAGAGGTACTTGTTTTTCAGGGTGTGCGTTCAAGTCATGACAGTCAAACACAGAACAGACATTACTTTTTGGTACTGATCACTCCAGAGTGTCTAAAGGTGCAAAATAAAGGTGCAAAAAACCCAAATATTTCCACTGAGGCTTCACTGCTCCTACAACCATTCTTTGTGGCAAATCATCACTGCCTTCCAGCTCAGCAAGGATAATACTAGTGCTCTCTCTTAACAGGATATTTGTCCAAAGCGGATGTGCAAATGTGTGGCATAAAAAGAAGAAGAAAGTATAAAAAAATATTGTCACTCCTCACACTACCAGTTTGGGGTGATTAGACAGGGAATCCAGCTGCCAAAGGAGAGAGAAAAAAAAATAATAACTGAGAAAGATTAAAAAAGAGAATTGTCAATCAAAGTAGTGACTGTGATTCACAAAAAAGACAGAGACAACACAGCTATCCAGAGTTATTAAAGTTATTTCACTCTTCAGGGCATTCTGATGCTGAAGCAAAAAAAACCACCCCAAAACTAAAAAACAAAAAGAAAAAAATAAAAAGACAAAATAGAGGAAAAAGCCAACATGCAAATATGAGGAAGGGTTTCAGAAACAGAAAAGAACTGAGGAAAAATTTTTAAAAAATTGAAAGGAGTCTATGGCTTTTTCTTTCTGTCTCTCGTGCATTAAGAGTACTAAAGCTTGGGGCACTTAGAACTAGTCAGCAGTAGCAGACAATGATTATATACTGCAGGCAGCAAGCCAGTCCTCCAGAATGGATAGGTTAGGTGACCTCATAGGTCTTTTCCACCTCTATTTCCTTTGGATTTATGAAGTATCTTTTAATAATAGTTATTTAATACTTCATGTCATTTTTCCTTTATTAGTGCTAATACAGTCCTGCTCCTTCCCATTTTCTGCATTCAGCTAACTTAAAGCACAATTCACAACTGCCCACTCGGAACAAGGCATGAGTCTACAGGCCAGTACCAGTAAATCTGCGTCACTGATGTCTCACATTAACACTGAACAGTTGCAGCTAAAAGCCAGGCAAGATTCTTATCCAGGAATCCCTGATACACTACAGCTAATTCAAACCATCACAAGAAAGTGCAAGGCAACCCTCTGCCTCTCAGAGTACTGTCGAATTTTGCCTCTTTTGGGTTCTGAGAACTAAACATGGCCTCGATGATACCACATGATCGGTTTCTGCTCCTGGTGCCTCACCACACAGTGATGAAACTGCCAGCATTTGCCAAAGAAAGAAAAATAATGTGGATGTAGCGGTGTTCGGGGAATTAAAAACAAAACAAAACAAAAATAAACAACAAAAAAAGCTTTAAAAATAATCACATTTGCAACATTAAAACTGATCCTATTTCTTCACTTCCATGAAGCAAACAGCAAAATATGGAGAGACAGATAAGGGACTTAGGGCAGATTTTTAAAGAGCCTTCTCTGTGTAATCCAGTGAGGGAAATCACATTGGAGTCTGTGATAAAATCTGCTTTGACCTTCCTCATGACCTGGCAGTCAGGTCACCATGTAGTGCTTTATAAAGACCTAAAACCAGCACATCTAAACACTTCCATCAGCAGAAGGCAGATTTGAATGGTAGCACGTCTCCCATTATCAAAAAGTCACAGCGACACAATCTCCAGTTTTATAGTTCCGTATACTTTCTCCTTCCACTCTGTCTTAAGGATCCATTCACCCCTCCTGTAACCATCCAAAAGGCATTCATTCTGACCCAAACAACCTTCCAGTTTTATAGACAGAAGATGGAATCACTTTGTGAAATTTCAGACTCGATGAAAGCCCTGACAGGCAGTATGGATTTTTTTTCCCATTTCTCTAAACTGCTAAGGTAAATCCTGCTGCTCTCAACAAAAAATGTGAATAACAGATTTTTGTCTTGTGGTTCAATCAAGAGAAATTAGTTTTCAAATTATAACTATTTCATGATGTAAGGACTAAATTTTTTATTTTGTTTTTAGTTTCACTTCAAAATTAATTTAAAAGTTGAAATGTTGTAAGAAGTGCTGCTGCAGCATCATAGCTTTTTCAGAATCACTATTCTCTTAATTTCTGCCTAAAATACATTGCTGAATTTATGTGAGCTAATATATAGCATTAGTCCTACATGACTAAAATTTACCAGCAACTTTTGGATTCTGCTAGGTAACCCAGTACTCCTGTGTTCTGATTATTTTTATATGCCAAAACAATAGTTTAAAAAAAAAAAAAATAAATCTTGCAACAGAGTTCACTTAAAATCAGGCTTTGGTATATCCAGGCCTATTCTCTAAACTCACTCACTGTAGTCTGAGCTCTCTCAGGCATATTCATTCCTGTAAATATCAAGGACCACTTTCCCCCACACAGCCGACATGCTCAGGCTTTAGTATCAGTCTTCTGGTAGCACAACATCCTCTGGCAGATGATTACAGAGGTACCAGAACACCTTGCCCCCTCCCCATCACCACCAGGACATGGAGGACCCTGTTTCACACACAAGCGGTAAGAAAACTCACTGTTCACTTTTAAATGCCTATTGCAGAGGCCCATAGGAATTGAGTTGAATAAAACATCTCTGCCTCATCCCAGGCCACATTTTACTACTATAACCAAACTGTTGTCTGGTTTAGACTGTCCAAATTCCAACTCACATTTGTGTTACAAATTATGTAATTACAGAAATATCCCAAAACTTTGTTTTCATCAAGGGCACTAAAATGGTTCTTAGGCAAAATTTGGCTATTAAAGTAACCAGTTAGTCTAATGATACCAAAATCCATCTTTCAGTAAGCACCAAAGTAAGTTCCGCATTGAAGTACCTTAGCACTCTCCAACTTAAGCATGAAAATCCTACCAGCCCCCAGTTTTCCTGACTTGCATGTAATTATGTACACCCTCTGCTACTTTACCTCTCCCTATAAAAAGAAATTAGCTTTATTTAACTGGAAATGTACCATCTATATTGACACAGACTTCACAAAAGACATCAAACATCCTGCTTTCAAATGTTACCAAGTATGTTACCTTGTATGTTCCCTCAGTCCTCCTTTGATACTATTTGTACAGCTCACCAAGTAATTATTTATTTTAGTCAAGAGTTAAAGCTTTCATGATCAGTCTCTGGAGAATGCAGATCTTTTTCTCATTTTATTTTATGCAGCACCATGTCTCAGTCAATTGCTATGATTGTTAATTCTTCATGCTGTCTCAGCTTTCCATTTCCTTAGTCTCTGGTCGTGACTGTAATAGTTAATTTCATTAGGGAGATACTTAGCAACTTCATCTGCAAGTCAACAACATGGATCAGATAGAAATTTTTAGAAAGAGGAATTATTTATGGCTATTAACAGCATTGATGCTTATATTGCATGCTTCACACAATACAATAATTGCATAGAAGTCAGAAGAAAACTTTTATGGATGAGCAGGGCCTGCCTTTAAAGAAGCAGCTATCTCCAATTACTGGGATCAAAATATCTGCTTTGATAACCTGATGCAGTACATCAAGCACCTGATTCTTAATGGTAGAAATATATTATATGTACTTATCTAACAGAATTATGGAATCAGCAGAACATAAGGAAGAAAACAAATCAATAAAGCAGACTCACAACTCAGCAAATACTTTACATGCTCTGGAGTTCTGATCCAGTAATGTGTTTTCAATAACACCACACAGGTTGGTTTCACTCTTCACATTGTCATTAGTCTATTATTGATTTAGTCATACACCTGAGCTCTTAACAGAAATCAGTGTAGAAAGGATTCAAACTCTCCTTGGGAAAAGGTTTAGGATTCATTTGCACAGCACGGCAGTACTGAAATGCCAACCAGCCGCCCACACCATACCCACTCAGCAGCAGGGAAACAAGGGAACTGCAGCACAGCAAGGTAACAACACACCGGGCAGACCCGCAGGTGGCACTAACGAGTCAAACCATTTCGGGATGGTAAATCATTACATAAGGCAAGAATCAAAATTACAGACCTAGAAATTGCTCTTAAGCCTGGAAGTGACACTGGCACATGGAAGTTCTCATATCCAGATGAGGATGGGAGGAGGAATATGAGCCAAGGCAGTGAAATGCTGCTCAACACTCACTGTGCAAATGCCTGAGACTACACTAAATGAACTCCCCTCCAAAATCCCATACTTGGTTGTCATGCCTCTTATAGTAAAATCAAAGATTATTCTAAGGAGTGGATGGATCAAATTGGATGGAGCCACACTGCCACTCCTTACAGAGGCAGCAATCCCTATCCAGAGGGCCATACACCACTACAAGAGTTCCTCTGCAACTCAGACCTGCCCCCCAGCAATATCCACATTCCTGTTTTCTCATCACATCTATTTTCTACCCTGCACATGCACATAATAGGAACATCGTCTTCCCTTCCCTATCCATACCATCCCCCCTTCCTGAGTTCAATCCTGCCTGGCAGTATTATACAATCTCTTCTGCTCTCCTTCTCCCACTCCCAGCTCTGAACACCACTAGAGATTTGAGCACTCAGAGTACTTACTTAAACCAGACATGGAAATCAATCAAGTCGATGAAATTCAATATCAATTAAAGATTCAATCTTTTGAAATTTCATAGATAATTAGCTAAAATCAATATAGTCATTATAATTGATTTTGGCCAACAAACTGTCCTACAATAAAGGCACTTTGCTGTGGTGTTCCTTCAGTCTGATGACACAGTGACACTACATATTATTTCTAATACTGTCTTTGTTTAGCATACTAGCCACAAAGGGAAGTGGCTTCCCATACTATATATTCTCAGTTGATTTATTTAATTCAAATTTGGCCTTATAAAAGGATTCACTGGAAATGCAGGTAATATGCCTATAAAGAGATACTGAATTTCCTTT